TCTCGCCTGTGCTGCCTGCGCCTCACCCTGCTGTCTCCGGAACGCGGTCTGGAGGAACAGCGGCCTGGGCCGGCACGGGCTGTGGGCGCTGCCCTCCCTGTCGGGCCCAGTGTGCTGGACGCGACCCTCGGGGTCGTACCACCAGTGGGAGCTCCCGAAGTGGTTAGAGAAGTGTCCATTGAAGAAGTGGGTGTCATTCTAACTTGGGTATAGGAACAGCCTTCGAAAGGCAAACCCAAAACATCTCAGGAGCCAATAGCATGCTTCTTTTAAAAATGTACAGCAATTGGAGGGCGTGGAGGCGCACGCCCGTAATTCCAGCACTTGGGAGGCTGAGGCAGGAAGTTAGCTGCGAGTTCTAGGCCAGCCTGAAGTATGTATTTGGTGACCTTGTCTCAAAAAAACACAAAAAAATGTACAGCACTTGAGAATGTATTTATTTGTATTAGCTCCTCCGATCTTTTACCAGCTCTTTGAAATAAGTATGGGAAGTACTGTCTTTCCTTTATAGATACAAGATTCAGAGTAAAAGATATGGTTGAGACTACGAATACTAGTGTGCTTTTGTAAGTGAAAACAGTTTCATACTGTGCAGAACAAACTGAAAATGTGCCTAGGGAGAATAGATTGGTATATTGGAAAGTAAGGAGCTGTCAGTTTAGGTTTTTTTTTTTTTGGTTGAACCCAGGGATCAACCAGGTCAAAAATCTGGTCAAAAACCTGGTCAACCAGAGGTCAAAAAACCCAGGTTTTTTTTTTTTTTTTGAAAATCTAATATTGTGAAGTTTATTTGCATTAACATTTTTCCGCCATCATAAAAGATACATTTGTTTGTTCTTTGTGTTCAGAAAAAGACATTTTGGAGTGGACAGTCCGCTTCTGTTCTCTAAAGGAAAAGATAAGTTTTAAAAACAAAATCCAAATGCAAAAGTCCTCAGTAGTCTCCTGTCTCCAGTGTACTCCAGCAAAATATTCACAGTTGTCTGGACACGGATAAACCCCAGCTGAAGTTCACCTTTACTTTTTTCCTTCCCAGCTGGTCTACACTTAAAATCTGAAGCCATTTCCTGCAACTACACCAGATCCCCCCACAGCACAGGAGCCTGAAGCACCAAGGGTCCCTGCCTCTCAGCCTCAAACCTCAGCAACCCAGCCTGCGTCCCTTCACCTACAATTTGTGAAACCTAAAAACAAGTGAACAACTTCACAAAGCCAGCTCTGGGTTTATCATTTCTTTACCCAACGTTCAACAGACTCACATAAGATAGTAATCAGGTCTCCAAAGTTTTATGATTATTTTTCTTCATTATAAAATGTACTGAGCTGGTAACATACCTATAATCCCAGCACTCTGGAAGGCTGAGGTAGGAGGATCGCAAGTCTGAGCCCAGTCTGGGCAACTCCATGTGACCCTGTCTCAAAATGGACCTTGTGCTTGTGAGGCATGTGCTGTCAGTTTTATCTGAAAGTTTAAAATAAAAACAGGTCGATGGCAGTAATTCTGTATACGATCAGTACAGAAAGGACATTTTTGTCCACAGACTTAGAGATGTACCCATGTGACATTTAGGGGCTTAGTACTTGTCCCCTGAGTAGCTGAAACTGATAATTTTTCAGTGTTTTCCATGTATAAGACTGTTTAAAACACTTTTAATCATTAGAAGAAACCTGGTAGGTGGATTTTTTTTCCTTCACTTTTTAAAGACAGTCTCACTATGTAGTTCAGATGGGCCTTGAACCCTCAGAGATCCTCCTGCTTTAGGCTCCTGAGTATAGGTAGGTATTGTTCTATAGCTGTGCCCAGAGAAGTTAAAAAACTTCCTGCAGTCAGGCGATGAGCCAGACATTGGCTGGTGGGAGCTGTAGCTCCAAGGCAGTGCCACTGCTGTTCAGACTGGTGCTGACCCTGACTTCCCCTACTGCAGGGATCAGGAAAGGAGGAACAGAAGAGGAGATGGCTTCATAAGGAGACTGTCTGCTTTGCCTTTCAGAGGTTATCTCCAGATAGCACCGAAAATGCAGTGAATTCCGACGAAGAGCCGCTTCTCAGAAAGAGCTCCCGCCGCTTTGTCATCTTCCCTATCCAGTACCCTGATATCTGGAAGATGTATAAGCAGGCTCAGGCATCCTTCTGGACGGCAGAGGAGGTAGGTGACACTTCCTGCAGGACAGAGCTCACTTCTGTGTCCTGGGAGGCTCTAGCTTGGATCCACTGAGATCAGTTAGAACATAAGGTTTGGAGCTTCTGAGACTAAACACAACCTTCTCTGCTCTCGAAAGTTAGACTGTGGTGTAGAGACGTGCTTCCTGCTGCAAAGGGATATCTAATCCTGCCTGATTTTTACTTTTTATTTTTCTTAAGTACTGGAAATTGAACTTAGAGCATGCACACTGAGCTACATCCCCTGGCATTTTAAAACATTTTAAATTTTGTTTTGGCACTTGGGAGGCTGAGGCAGGAGGATTGCTGTGAGTTTGAGGCCAGCCTGGGCTACACAGCAAGAGTGATAGGATGTTACTAAGTCTCAATTGCCCAGAGTGGGCTTGGACCTTGCAGTCCTCCTGCTTAAGCCTTCCCGAATGCTGAGATTAGAGGTGTGTTCCACTGTACCTACCTGATTCAGATTTTTTAGATTTGGAGTTATTGAACCCAGGGTTTTCATGCTGAGCCTTAGCTCTTTTTATATATTATTTTGAGACAGAGTCTAGCAAAGTCACTAAATTTCCCAGGCCAGGCTTGAATTTATAATACTCCTGCCTCAGGAGATGAGAGGTGTAGGTCACTATATCTGACTACTTTTCTATTTTTAAGCAGCCTTTTGGTTGCTGTTGCTGACTGTTTACTTCAGTTTGGCTGAGGCTGTGTAATTGAACAGTGAAAGCAAAGCCTGTCTTTGATGCCAGGCGAGTATTTGGGGATCCTGCTGGCCCTGAAGTGGGCCTTACTGCTGGATGGGGTGGAGGGGGCGTCACACACTGAGCTTGGCCCCCTCTGTGGATTGCCAGGCGGGTGCACAGTGCTCGGCGGTGTGGCCAGCAGATTCAGGGCTGGGCCTGGAAGCAGGAACCAACCCCAAGGCAGTGATGGTGAACCTTTTAGACTCTTAGTGATACAGCCCGCCTCTGCCCGCATGCCATAGGTTCACCACCACTGGCCTAAGGGACAGCAGTGGAACCTTTCTGTTAGGGTGACACTTTCCACTGAGGAATGAGTTGATCACAGCAGTTTCTGCTGCTGCCCTGCAAGTAGGTACCTCAGGTCGTGCTGCAGTCTCTCTGGGGTCTCACAGGGCACAGGGTGGCTCTGCTCTGCTTGCTGAGCAGCTTCAGGGTGTGTGCTCGTGAGGAGAGACAATCTGTGTGTGAGCGCCTTGGGGGAGCACAGGCTGCCGCTCACCTGCTGTGGGGCTGGGTAGTAGCCTTGGCCTCTCTGGGCCCTCCTAGGTTGGTCAGGCTGAGTACCAGACCTGCTGGGGTCATGAAAATTATTGAGATATTTTGTTTCCTTTTTTTGTTTTTTGTTTTTTGTGTCACGGTCTTGCCTTGTGGTGCAGGCTGGTCTCGAACTGAGAACCCAAGCAATCCTCCTGCCTCAGCCTTGGGAGTGCCAGGATTACAGGCCTGCACCTCCATCCTGGGCTCTCTTGAGATGTTTGGAATGGTGATTGGCACTGAGTAAGCACTAAATAAATGTAAACTACTGTGTTATTTTACACCAAGAATGGGGCAGATTTAACCTAGAGGCCACACAAGCACCAGTCTCACCGTTGTAGTCCTCTTTGCTGCCCTGACATCTTTGCTGTGTTGTGGTTGACGAAGAGTTTAAAATAGCAAACCAAGAAGAACACGCCCATGCTGCCACACCTGAGCGTCCCTAACTGTCTGTGGTTTCCAGCCTTTTTAGGACATGGTTTCGGGGCCAGAGGCATGCAGGTGGTGTTTATTGTCCTGCTCAAAGGTCCTTGGGGTGCTCGGGTTTCTTGAAACTCATTTGGAAACTCCATTTACTTTTTGCAGTGGTAATAAATGTCCTTTTAGCACTAAGAAGCATGCGTTTTTACAAATCATAATGTACAGAGAGAAGGGGCAGGGTCCCCTCACCTCAAGGGCATGGCTCCCCTCCTGGATGCTTCACCACCTCTGCATGGGCCTGTGGGTCTCTGGGGACATTGGAGATCCAAGTAAATAAGACAGGTGGGGTGGCACCAGGACTTGGGAGGCTGAGGCAGGAGGATTGCCTCAGGTTCAAGACCAGCCTGGAATACACAGCAAGATCCTGTCTCAAAAAAACAAAAACGAAAACAAAAAATAATCTTAAAAAAGGACCAGACAATAGCAGTTGGTTTGGAGCCAATATTTAGATGGCTGAATTGAGAATTTGCTCAAATGAGGTAGAGGTGGGGAGGGAGATTTATGTTTCTGGAGGGGACTATGATAGACACATAAATAAAATTTCTGTGATATTTTGAAGCTGAGTGTTTAAAGAGAAGTTTAAATCTAAAGAACAAGCACTTTCATATAAAAATTTACTGTTGGGAGTCAGCATCTGGCTTGGATGTCTGCTCAGCAAACTTCCTAGTAGCCCGGGAGGAAGAGTGGCAGAGGAGAGGGCGGAGCCTGAGTCTGGGGGACTTTGGGACCACAGGTCCCGGCTGAGGTGGGGCCCTTAGCGTCCACACGGCAGCAGTGCCAGCCCGCTGTCCCCTGCTCCAGGCCCGAAGCCGCAGACGCTACAAGTCTGTGGTAATTGGGTCCGCAGCCAGTGCCCACTGAGACAGCGAGGTACATCTGATGACACGTTTAAAATTGTGCAGTCTGTCCAGTTCCACACTGCGTCTCTGTTATTCCGAGGACCAGTTGTAGTAAACAGGAGTAGAAATACTCCTGTCCCCAGCAGAAGTCCTACCTGTAAACTGCCTGCCTGCCATTGCCTCTGATAAAGCGAATCAGTAACGGAGCAGCTGTGGGCAGTCAGCAGGTGTTTCATTGTCTAACTCCGTAGAGAATACGGTGCCATCCAAAGTACTACAGCAGTTGGAGTGTAGCTCAGTGGTGTCACTCCTGCCTCACAAGCACAAGTCCTGAGTTCGATTCCTAGTACTGGAAAAAAAAAAGTGCTACAGCAGCAGCTGCTAAAACACACTGTGTAGTTTTCTTACCTTTCTTCTGGGCTAGTTTGTGCTCTCTTCCCACTCGGGCCCTCCCTTCATCAGCTCCAGTGGCTGCACATAACTTCATTATAAATGTGTGAAGAGCCTGGGATTTAGCTCAGTGGTGCCGCTGCCTGCCTCACAAGCGCAAGTTCCTGAGTTTGATTCCTGGTACCAAAAACAAAATTATAAAAGTGTGAAATGTGTGCCGGCCAGCTTCTCCATTAGCCAGAGAGTCAGTTCTTTCATAATGTGTCACTTTCTTCTAAGTAAATGTTGGGTGTATTTAAGGAATATATCACGATGTTAATATTCATAAATAGCCAGGCGTGGTGGCACATGCCTATAATCCCAGGAAGATCATAAGTTCAAGGCCAGCTCAGGCAACTTGGTGATCTCCTGTCTCAGAAAACAGAACAAAATCGATCCGGGGTTGCGGCTCGGGTACAGTGCTTGCCTAGTGGTCCGGCTTGTATCGAGATGTGTCCCCTCCCTGCCTCCCAAAACCTCATGCAGGGTTTTCGGAGGGTGCTGGATCTAGGGTGTGAGGCGCTGGGTTCAAGGATGTGATGCTGGAACTGATTTCCCGGTGCACTGCTAGGATTAGGGTTGCCCCGCCCTGGGTGTGAGTGCTGCCCGCCCTAAGCTTGGATAATACAAGGGAAAGAGTTGCAGCTTGTCACCTGTTACCTGCTACCTTCTGCCTGCCCCGCCGCGAACTGCTTCTCCTCTGCAGTGCCCCTTTGCCTGTGCCGCCCTGCCCTGTAGCCAGCTGACTATGGACTGAAACCTCTGCAGACTCTGGGCCAAACAAACCCCTTCCCCTCCAACGTTGGGTTTCGGGTATTTTGTCTCAGCAGTGAGAGAAAAGTGAGACAACTAACGTGTGAGGCCTTGGGTTCCACCCTCAAGATGACAGAAACCACAGGACCCATGCACACACAGGTGTATACATAGTGCTGTGTGTTTATGTATGTGTGAGATGTGAAGATGTACACCATACACGGTGATCAGCACTGTAGTATACACACGTGAATGTACTTGTCTCACGTCGTACCCATTTTCTCTCCTCTGCTCAGAGTAGCTATAATCTTGTTTAGAAAATGCCCCAAATATAATACATTTTTAATATAACGTTTTTGTGGGCAGGGGATGTAGCTCAGTGGTTCTGCCGCCTGCCTCACAAGCACAAGGTCCCTGATAGCAAAAAAATAAAACAAATGTAATGTTTTCGTTTGACTCTGTCTTTGCATGTGTGGTTGTGGGGTAGGTTGTTTGTTTTGAGACAGGTTCTCTCTGTGTAGCTCAGGCTGGCCTCGAACTTGGGATCCCCCTGCTTCAGCCTCGGAGTGTTGAGTGCTGGGATTGCAGGCACGCCTGTGCCACTAGCTGGCCAGTTCGTCTTTTTGTGATGTGAATATTTTTTTCTTTTACGCAGTTTACTGCTAATGGGATATTGCTCCCTCACTTTGGGGCATAAGGCAGTTTTCCAAACTTCTGCTCCCAGTTAACACTTTTGAAAACCTTTGTATTCTAGGTTGACCTATCAAAGGATCTGCCCCACTGGAACAAGCTCAAACCCGAGGAGAAGTATTTTATCTCTCACATCTTAGCCTTTTTTGCAGCCAGTGATGGGATTGTAAATGAAAATTTGGTAAGACATTTATTATATTGTATGGGTGTTCCATTCAGCAGTTAAATTCTGATAATGTCAGTAAGATCATTGAATTGAGCCTGAGAAAAGATGCTGAAGAAATGGACTGGGTGAAGCTTTTACTTCTGGAAAATGTTTTTCTGATGAAGCATCAGAGGAAAAGATCGATTTTTGTCATTTGACCAGCAAGATATCATCAAATCAAGTGTGAATTATATGAATTAAGCCTGTATGCGGTCCATAAACTCCTGATTTTGTGTGTGTTTTGAGACAGGGTCTTGCAGTGTAGTCCAGGCTGGCTTTGAACTCACTATGCATCCCAGGCTGGGCTCGAACTTGTGGCGATCCTCCTGCCTCAGTTATTTTCCTGAGTGTGGGGATTACAGGTGTGTGCTGCCGTGCCCAGCTTTTGAGATTTTTATCCTCAGACAATAAACCTAATAGAGAATGTGCCCCTTTATAACCGTCCTGAACTTTGTAGAGAACACTGGGTTCCGGCTTCCCGTGTAAAATCCTGGATGGAACTGGGGTGTAGCTCAGTAGCAGTGTGCTTAAGGCCCTGGGTTTGGTCTCCAGCCCTGGGAATAGTGGCCAGTCCCCAGGTCCAACCACTGTGGAAGGCCGAGGCAGGAGGACCTCAAGTTAGAGCCTAGCCTGGGCAACCTAGTGGTTTAGTGAATCCCTGTCACAAAATTAAACATTTTTAAAAAGAGCTGGGGATGTAGTCAGTATGAAAGTCCTGAGGTCAGTCCCCAATACCACTCAATAAATAACCACAGACGCGTTCTGGTTGATCAGGAGGCATAATTTCTGATTAGGGAGAATAGAGATGTGAGCATCCATCACGGACTTGAAGAGTAGCACAGAAAAAGAATTCTGCACAGCAGAGCTGTTTTGCTGGATGTCAGCCCGTTTGGCTCGTGGGCAATCTCTGCATTGGCAGACTGCTCTCCTCATGTGGAGGGGCAGTGCCGCCGGGAGCCTGTGCGCCGGCCTCTGGACGTGCTCATTGGGATGTGAGATTCGGGTTTGCCCCACTGAGCCGGACCTGGGAGCCGTTTCCCTTGTTTCCTCAGGTGGAGCGCTTCAGCCAGGAGGTGCAGGTCCCTGAGGCCCGCTGCTTCTACGGCTTCCAGATCCTCATCGAGAACGTGCACTCCGAGATGTACAGCTTGCTCATAGACACGTACATCAGAGACCCCAAGAAGAGGTACCGTGGCTGGGATCTCGTCGCCAAAGCCTCCCCCGCTTACGTCGCGTTATGAGCAGTGTTGAGTCCAGAGCTGAGTGCTAAGGAAAGACCCTGCGCACGGGGAAGATTGAGTGTATTGTTTCATGGGGCTCAGTAGCATGTTGGGGAGCTGGGTGTGGTGGCATACACGTCTGACCCCTGCAGCTCTGGAGGCTGAGACAGGAGGATTGCAACTTCAAGGCTAATGTGGGCAGCTTAGCAAGACCCTGTCCAGGTCTGGGGATGTAGCTCAGAGGCCCTGGGTTCACCACTCTCTCATCTCCCGAATAATAATGTATTGAGTGACAGGAAGCTTGCAGAGAACCAGTTATCCATAGGCACTGGACCTATATTAAAAGCCTATTCATTAACACAGCCAGTTTAGAATCTGAGTACTTGCTTTAGTTGATTATGTGTCAGTCTGGATCCAAACCATTAATTTCAGTTTAACTTTCTTTTTGTTTTTTGTTTTTGTTTTTGTTTTTTGAGACAGGGTCTCCTGATGCAGTTCAGGCTGTCCTTGAACTCACTGTGCAGCAGAGACCAGCCTCGACCTTGTGGCGATCCTCCTGCCTCAGCCTCCCAAGTGCTGGGATTACAGGTGTGTGCCACCCCACCTGGCGCAATTATTGTCTTTGATTAAACTATTAAAATTTTGTCCATTAAGAAAAACAAATGTGCTTGCCACAAGGTCGAGGCCGGTCTCAGCCAGTCTTGGCTGCATAGTGAGTTCAAGGACAGCCTGAACTGCATAACGAGACCCTGTCTCAAAAAACTAAAAAAAAAAAAAAAAAAAAAAA